GAGGCATCCACACTCCTGTAAGCTTCAGCCCGAGGCACTCAGTTCCACTTCCGTGCATCACCAAGCCCAACTTCCCCAATTACGTGCCCAGACACCCCACTTCCCATGCCAGCCTCCTGCACAGAAGCACTCCGCTTTACTTGCTCCATGGACTGGGAAGTCCGTCACTCTGTCCCTGCTCTAGCTCCTGGTCCTGCTGCTCTTAGGCTATAGCTGTCTTGTAGTGCTGGAGGTTTTCTGTGCAGGGAAGGATCTTGGGTCCAGATGACACACTCCAGCTCCTGCTGTTAATAAGATCCCACTTTCTGCTTCTCTGCGGGCTCATTTTATACACGGCAGGATGGCACTCCAGGGAAGCCTGTGCAGAATTGCAGAATTACTTACAGGTGAATCCTATTAGTATGTCTCACCTCCCCCCACCCCCTGGAAAAAGTCATTTGGTGTGTGTTAGAGACTTTGGCTAGAAGAACCACATTAGTCACTGCCACTGCACTTCCTTCCACCAAACCACTTAACTCATTTTCAGTGAGAAGCCTAATTAGTATTTTACGGTTATTTGTTTGACTTGACCAGTGATTTCCCTTCTTAAGTTAAAAGAAAACCATGCTATTGGAATAATATTTGATGGCATAAAAGAATTCAGCAAAAGGAATGAGTTAAAGAGATCTGGATATCTGGTAGCATGGGGCTCAGCAGTTCATGCCCCCAGCCACTGCTGGGGAGATATATAAGGCTGTCTAATCCTGTAAAGACTGACAGTCTTGGAAACCTCTATATAGGGTCACTGTGAGTTGAATCCACTCAAGCAGTGGGCTTCTGTTTTTGTTTGTATTGATGCAGCCTCCTGCGTTCAGAGCCCCCCCTGCCTACCCACCCGAGGGCTATAACAAATAGATGTAAGAGTAACTGCAAACGTTCTGCCATCTAGTTAATACTGACTCATAGCCAGCCTCCTGTGGGTTTCCGGGACTGTAACTTTATGAGATTAGAAAGCCCATTTTTTCTTCCTCCGAACTGCTGCTGGTTTCAAACTGCTGACCATGGGGATCACAGCCCAACTCAGGGCTCCTGAAAATACAAGTGATCTGGAATCAACTTGTTGGGTAAAGAGAGTTCATTAAATCATATCTCTTTATTGCCCTTTAGTTTCTCTTTTGAATGTTTTATTCACCTCATTATTTTCAAAGGTTGGCATTGCTCTGCGATTTAGAGAAGGAAACTACAGTGTGTGAAAATGCTATATTAATAACTTGACATCAGAGTGATCTACAACACTTAATGTTCCTGGTGTTTCCTCTTGTTCACTTAACTTGTAGTCCTGTGTGTTTGTCAACACTCAGTCACATATCTTTAAAGTAGCTCATATGTTACCGTGACGGTTTCTACAGAAATCAAATCAATGACTTAATGAGGAAATCTTTAATCCTTTGCTATAATTAAGAGGATAGCTGTAAAAATAAATGGAAAAAAATCATTTTTCGCTAGATCCTCTTGGCCACTGGTGGCTCTTAGCCCAACCCCTGGCCCTATTGTATTTCTAAAGGCTAATGACAAGCTTAGTTGAAGACAGACAGCAAGTTGAAACTTAGTCCTGGATGTAATTAGAAAGATTGAAAGAATACTTACAAGTTTCTCCCACTATTCAAAGTAGACCATTCCTTTGTAAACTTCTATTGGCCGAAATGGCATAAAATAAAGTAGCAATTACCATTGATCTGTATAGGAAGTATTGTTTAGCATTTCTGGATCCAAAAATTGTGTTCCAAATCATGCCATCTAAAACCTAAAATCTAACTGTGTGTATTCACAGACACAATTAAAAACTATGGCAACTTGAGGCTGAGTGTAGTTCTTAAGAAGGAGCTTGGTGAGATCACCTGATTGACTGCAAAACAAATACTAGTTCTGCCTTTGGGAATTTTCCTTGTGAAAGTTAAAATCCTCTTTGGAGTTTTAGTACTATAGCTCTTTCCTGAAAGTGAAAGTGGCAAATAGTAAACTTTTGAAAAGTAAATAATTGTTCTTGAACTCACAAACTGTCATTTAGTGCTAGCATAATACTTGATTAAACATAGCCATGTACAGCATAACTTCCACAGCTTCCTTTTCATTTTTTTTTTTAATCATTGTATTGGGGACTCATACAACTCTTATCACAATCCACACGTACATCAATTGTGTAAAGCACATTTGTACATTTGCTGCCCTCAACACTCTCAAAACATTTGCTCTCCACTTAAACCCTTGGCATCAATCAGCTCCTCATTTTTTCCCCTCCCCTTTTCATTTCTTTACCAGATGCGGCATTACAAACTCACTCACTGCCCTGAATGGGATAGCAGAGAAACCTGGGGCCATGAAAGCTACAGTGGAAGTCGCAAACGGAAAAGGAGGTCTCGTAGTAGCACGCAGGAGAACAGGCATTGTAAACCACATCTTCAGCGTAAAGAATCTGATAGGTAAATTATTCTTGAACTAATAGCATTATATCTCCACTAGGTTTGTTTGTTTGTTTGTAATGATTTGTCATTTACTTACATAGCATTCATTTTTCAATGTATGATTCAGCAAATACTTACTCATTAAAAAATACAGTGTCACTTTTCAGGAAGATGCTTTATAAATGCTGAGCCTATAGTTATAAAGAAGGCAAAATTCCTGTCATATCTGTGTTTATCTGGCAGTAGTTGGTGATAATATCAGTAATTGGGTAGGAAACCTTGCACAAAGGTGCTCTGACGAATTGACAGAAAAAACACTCAGTTTAAGCTGCCACTGACAAAGGGGGCGAGGGGTGAAACACAAAAAGTCATTAGAAATGGTTGAAGACCCAGTCTTGGCCTTTAACTTTTACATCGGCCTGTCTCACTCACCGCGCTCAAGTCGATGCTCATAGCCACCCTGTAGGACAGGGTAGAGCTCCCCCTCTGAGTTTCCGAGACTGTTAACTCTCCACCACCAGTTTTATTGGCATATGATTCACATATCAAACAATTTAATAGTTCAGTCATACCACACCGAGAAGAGTTGTATAATCCTCACCAGAGACAGTTTTAGAACATTTTCTTCAATCTTATATTCGTCATTATTAGCTCCCCATTACCCCCCAACCTCCCCTCCCAAGGGTACTATTAATCCAGTTACTTCGAGAGTGCAACTCTTACCGGAGTAGAAAGCCTCATCTTTCTCCTGAGGAGGGGCTGGTGGTCTCTAACTGCTGGCCTTGTGGTAAGCAGTCCCACTTGTAACCACTCTGCCAGCAGGGCTCCTATTGGAATATATATGTTGGGACAAAGGAGTTGTTTCAGATGAGAAGAACCAGCATGCTCTAATTTAGGAATGCTAAAGTATTTTGGAGGGTTTAGTTGTGTTCTACAGGCTACATTTGTTAAAGATAGGAATATATTTGAAAATTTTAGATTCTTCGTCATAAAAAGAACCGTTCTTTTGCGCAGACAGGAGCAGCCAATAATGCAGGAAAGGGTTTCAATAAAACATTCCGATAGTGTTTGCCTTATTTTATTGTATTTGTATCACTGTAAAGTTTAAAAATAACACATTTAAACAAAATTGAAATCGTAAAGCTCTTTGTGGTTAAGGAAAGTCTAGTTGAAGTTAGCTTTTCGTTCTTGCTGCTCCAGTTAATCTCCCTTTCTCATTCGTTTTGCTGGTACTATGTTTTCTCCTTGTTTTGTGCAGATGTTCCATTGGGACTGTTTGCCAGATTGCTTTCTAAATTAGCCCGCTGGGGTAACTTTAAAAAACAGTATGTAATTTTTTTCCTTCTCCATGCTAACAGACTTACTCTGCAGGACATTCAAGCTTGAAATCATTGCAGATTAATTATTCTTCACACTGTTTATGTGGGGGGAGAGTTTATGGCAGGATTTTAAATTAACAGCTAATTGATGTACAATATACTATAGGAAAATAATCTGTATCCAATTATTACTATCTAAAACATAGTCTAAAGCTTAATATAGTACTAGTCATATGGTAGTACATATTGTTTGAGTGATGAACAATTGAATCATATTTCAAAATCAGTTACTTAAATGTGATACAGAGTTAATCCCAGCTCTTGTTTTAACATCAGCACAGAAATGTTGGGTGATAACTGCTCTCCAAACGTATAATTGCCTTTTTAAAGATTTTTCAACTTTACAATTTTTTTAATCACAAAATGGGGGAAAGTGAAAATTACCGAAAATTACAAATATGATAACCTCAGGGGCTAGCCCCCCATTATTTGGATGTAATTACTGGTTCTTAAAAATATCCTTGTATATGAATCTTTGCTTCTAATTATATCCCCCAAGTTAGATTCTAAGACTGGACATTTTCAAATTGAAGGGTTTAAAAGTTATGCAATTCTGGTTACATACTTGTCCTAGAAACTGTGCATCGAATTTTCTCCTATCATGTGCTCCAAAACCCTCTCTCCAATATTGGCTATTTTGAAAGGCTGAGTGTAGTGTTTTGTTGTAATTTGAAATTAAAATTTCTAGTGCATCTCTTCGCTTTCATAGGCTTATATATAGATTTAGACATGTTTTGTATTCTTAGTCAATGTTTTCTACTAAACCTTTTTTCTTACTGGTTTTTAGGAGCTCTGTGTTATATGTGAATTATTTTCATTGTTATAATTGTTGTAAGTATCCTTTTTTATTTGCCTTTTTGGCAAATCCAATGTACATTGTCAGATTTAGATTCTGTGCATCTAAAAGCTAGGGTCCAGATGGCTTCATTTTAAATAAGAATTCCATATTCTGATATAATTGATAACCAGACCACCTTTTGAGAAATGCTGTTTTAAACATCTTATCCTGGCATGTAGAGCCTTTGATGATATGCCCTAGCTCAGTGGTTCTCAAACTGTGAGTCACGACCCCTTTGGGGGTCAAACCACCCTTTCACAGGAGTCGCACGATTTATAACAGTAGCAAAATTACAGTTATGAAGTAGCAATGAAAATAAGTTTGCGGTTGGAGGGGGGGTCACCACAACATGAACTGTATTAAAGGGTCGCGGCTTTAGGAAGGTTGAGAACCACTACCCAGCTTATTTATGTGTCTATATTTCCTTATGTGAAAACTACCCTTGCTGGAATTGTCTCCTCACTCTGCTGTCTCCTGAGGAATGCTTAGACAAAGGCATCTCCAAGACTTTGTAACGAAAGGTGCTTTCTAAATGTGAGGTGCTACTATATACTGTCTCTGGAATTTCTTCTACTTTCCGCTTTGTTCAAGTCCTGGCTTCCCTTTAAGATGCAACTGTTTCATCTTTTCATAAAAAGATCGAATTTCTTCCCTTCGACAGCCTTAGGTAGTCATGAAACTTTTTAATCTTTCCTGCATTGTTGGGTTTTATTGGATTTTTATTTGAGCATTCATGTTGCTCGTTATTTGTTGACAGAGTATTTTTTATCTCCAGATGACTTGTGTGGAAATAAACACAAATGTCCCTGCCTGTATGAATCTTAGCTATTTTGAAAGGCCACAGTGAAATATTCACTGGACACTCTAAATTTTAAAGATTGAAACTGTCCTCCTTGTCCCAGCCACCTTGTCCAGAGCCACGACAGTTACATAGTTTGACTGTGCTTCTCTGCTTTCTAGACCTCACTGAAGGTTGCAGGGCCCCTTAACTTTCTAGTTTTATTTCATGATATTTCTTTACCCCAAGTTTTGTATTTTTGTTGATTTTTGAATGGACCAAGAGTAGCTAACTTTTTGTAATAGTCCAATTTAAAATAATTGGCTTTTTTTTCCTGGCAGGAAGCTTTTGGACTTTCACGGAAAGGATGCCTTACACAATTGCATAGGCTGTCCTTTAGATTATGGTCATTTCTCACTTGGTCCCCTGTAGGTCTCTCATAGCTCTAAGCCAGATGACCCAGATTCCCTTTGTCTTACTCTGATGTCTTGAGTTGTGTCTCCAGTGAACAGAGCTACAGCTGACACTGTGGAAAGGGAAGAAGGCTCCTGTACCTCCCCAGGCTGGATTTTTTAAAGATGCTCCTTTATTGCACCACAAATCAGCCCCTGTGAAAAGAATGGCGGTACATGTTGGGAAAGGAAAGGGGTTGGTGAGGGCAATCTAGTTCACATCTGTCACTCCGTTGCTTGTCAGGATTATTTTAGCTGTTTTGTCTGACTGGGCAGGTGTCCCCTTTTTCCCTTAGTGCTCCATGTGCATCCCTCTTGAAGCTTCGCACTCTGTTGAAGAGGACACTCATCCCAGGTAGAGAGGGGGCGGGGAAATTGGGCCAATTGAATCTATGTCCTTTCCTTTCCAGCAGATAAAGCGTACTTAGCTGGAATCCATTGACCTCTCAAATTCTTTGCCAAGTTTTACTTATACACTTGTGCATTTCTTGGAAAGGATACATTGCTTTCACCAGAATCTCAAGGGGATCTGTAGATTCAGAAGTCAAGCACTGTGTACTAGCTGATGCTATGCTGTATTCCGTGTACAACTCTTGTTTAACTTCTCTAGCAGGATGATAGAAAATTGGAAATGCAAAGGGAAGTAGAGTACTGGTACTATTATCGGAGTAATACTAGGCAAGCAATACAGGAATGCTTTCTCCTTCGAGAGTTAAATATTTTAGATGTCCTTGGCACCTGGGGCCATACTGAAAAACTGTGCTGTCCATTTCTGAATCAAGAATAGCAAGAGGCCAGAAATGCAGAGAGGATGAATGATGTGTGTAACAAAATTTGCTTCTATAATAGTAGAAAACCTGTATTTTTGTCACTAATGAGCACTATAACCATGGAAAGTCATTAGTCAACAGTTTACCACTGCTTAACACATTACCAAAGGGATCTTAATTTATTTATCAGTAAAATAAAAGGGCTGGAATACATTGAAGGTTCACTCTAACTTTGATAACCTCCCATGAAGGCGTTCTATATGTGCCAGAGATAATCTAAAATACTCGTACATTCACAGGAAAAGGAATCCTGTTTTGTTTGCCTCCCAATTGTGTGTGGCTCTCTGAGAAGGAGAAAAAGTTTAATGATAGATGTATTTATCCTAAGACTGATGAATTCCAGACCGTTTTGTGAATTTTTTTTTTCCAACTTTCTCCAGAAGCTAAAGGAACAGTTATGTAAACATTAAGCATAATAAATGAATGATTTAATTCAATCTTTGTTCCTTGGTAAGAAATGCCCTAAAGCAGTCTAAATATTAAAGGATTTGCACCCATTTTCATGTTGGTTACAATAAAATTATTTTTTTTGCGGGAGGGGAAAGTATACTAATTCATTGTCTAAAACATTTATTATTTTTACATCTAGAATTCTTAAAAAGAATGTTTCATTAGAACCATACTGTTGTAGAATGGAAAGAATAATTTTATATCTTTTAATGTATTTTCAGTCATTATTTAGAAGCAAGGTCCTTGAATGGGAGAGATTATCGGGACCGGAGGTACATTGATGAATACAGAAATGAGTGCTGTGAAGGATATGTTCCCAGGCATTATCATAGAGACATCAGAAGCAATTATCAAATCCACTGCAGTAAATCTTCAGGCCAAAGCAGGAAAAGCAGCCCTAAAAAGAAGCATACTAGACATTGCTCAAGTCATCAGTCTCATTTGGTATGATTACTTTGGTTATTATTTTGGGTGGACTTTTATTTGGGTGGTAAAGCACTTAGTGAACCAGTAGGCTGGAAAAGTCTATATATGTGTTGTACTACTTGGGTATATTTGCCCTTATATTTGAGTCCTTAAAGGAAATGTATAAATTCTTACAGCAAATCTGTATTTATTAGGTAGCTCCCATTTGCCCATATCTACTCATTTTCTGCAGACCAGATCGAGTTTGATTTTAATGAATTACTTTTGTATTTTGTAATGTAATTTTATGAAAGAATGAATTATTTAATATTTAATAATAATGTTTCATATGAAATACTGTTTTTTAAAATAAAGCTTTTCCTAATTTTGGAAACATTGGGTGCGTAGATATTGTTAATCTGTATATATAGCCTAGTATATTGCAGTGACCTAGACTGCCACTGGTTTGGTTGCAGTTTTGAAAATGGGTGCAGAAAGGGAAATAAGGTACCAAAATGCCCACTTTTTTTCCCTTCATTTTGGTACTCCCATATACACCTGTTTGATCAGTAACTTTGAGCTGTTATTATTCTCCCCAGTGTTCCTTAGTAGAACCCTAGTACTCATTAGGTAGAACGTTGAAGTTAGTCGTTATTTCCCCATGCATATTTTAAAATATTGATAAGCAAGATCAATTTTACGTAATCTTGGCATTTTAAAAACTTTTTTGGACAAAGTAGACATTTCAACTCAAAGCATATGCTATTTATAGTCAGATTAGTAAATAATGACATTGCATTCTTTAAATCTCAGACTTCAATTTAAATCAGTATTTTAAAGAGACAATTGTGTTGTTTTTTCTATTGCCACTTCAAATATCTTATCTGAAAATCTGTTCCTTGCCATGTTTTTCTTCTGTAACATAAACTGTGCCCTGTGAATTTCTGGGGACTGAATTTGAAATTGCTCCTGCCAACTGTTCGTGGCCTGGTGCTTATCTGAATGCCTGAATATCTCCCCGCTGAATGAATTGCGTATTCTGCCCTGAATTCACTCTGATACATTGATTGGCTGGACGATCGTGGTGCTGCCCACTTGCTGTTCCAGAAGAGCCACCGAAGGAAAAGATCCAGGAATATAGAGGATGATGAGGAGGGTCACCTGATCTGTCAGAGTGGAGACGTTCTAAGAGCAAGATGTATAGAATATTTTTCAACACTTTTTAAACCTTGCAGACAGAATTATCTTTTTTAAGATTAGTTTATCAGCGGGGGGCTAAAAAACTCTTCATTGCTTTTTTGTTTTGTTTTTATGGGTTTGTTTGTTCTTTTGTATTCTTTTATGTAGAATTTAAGTATTTCTACTCTTAAAGTTCCAAATATAATCTATTGGAATGTGAGATTAGAGCAAGAAAGATAGCTGTCTCTAATTGTTTTTGTAGCAACTGAAAATAAAATAATTTGAGTGCTGAAATTTTAGTTATGCTTTGATAGAGATCTTTGAAAATATTCCAGATTTAAACATTGATTGTTTGACTAACTTAATGCATTGTATTCAGAAACTGAACACACTTCTTCCCCCGCCTCTCCTCCTTGTAGATGAAATCGTGGATACTCTGGGTGAAGGGGCTTTTGGCAAAGTTGTAGAGTGCATTGATCATGGCATGTAAGTTTTATTTCTTTTATTGAACAGTAATCTTTTTTGAGGAAAATACCTAAATTAGATAAAATTGTGTTTTAGATGATAACTAGTGTTATTTCTTGTCAGGGATGTTTAACAAAATTGTATAAAACTTTCATTCCAAAAGGAACTGAATTTGCATCTTAGAGTTGGTATCCTAAATTTAAATGAAGTTACGTTATAAAGACAGAATTCTTTAATGGAACATTCTAAGCCCTTTGTGGTTTGTTCCATGGCTACATGTCAGTAGTTCCTAACTACCAGCTGATCTGTGGGGCAAATATTGGAATCCCAAGGGCAGTTCTACTCTGCCCTTTGAGGGTCCTATGAGATGTAATTGACTAGAAGGCAGGGAGAGCCGCATTTTTATCAATTTTTCTGCAGGACTTTTATACCCATGGTTTATAAACATTTTTAAGTGAATCTGTTGTGAGACTCAAAATTGCTTGTTTCTAATTTGGCATCAAAGTTTTCATCACACATCAAATAATTGGTTTATTTTTAGTCTTGGGATCAGAAGCGAGGGATAAAGGAAATCGATGGCCTCTAAACTCATTTGTGGCGCTATACTCTTTGAACGCATTCTTACAGGTGCCCTAAAGAGCTACAATTTAGCTCTTTCTGCCCGTTTGCATCAGTGAATGACTTGCCATGTTCCCTTTTGCCAAGATGTTCTATTTATCTCCCACAGTTGACAAACCTTTTATATATCTTTTAGGACTTGGTTCTCTATTACCTTTGCTCCAAAGATGTGTGCTCTCCCTAGTCCTTTTAGGTATTCCCTACCCTTGTTTTAAGCATTTCTACCATTTTGATAATTTGTTCATATGTCTGTCAATATTTTTCCCCACTAGGCTGTGAAGTACTCACTGCCATCAAGTTGTTACCCATAATGGCCCAATAGGACAGAGTAGAAAGCCTCATCTTTGTCCTGCACTGAGGGGCTGGTGGTTTTGAACTGCTGACCTTGTGATTGGTGGTCCAGTGCTTAACTCACTATGCTACAAGGACTCCTTACACTGAAGTATATAGGAACAAATCTAGCTAACATCTAGTCATTTCCAGCACAGTGTAGGTCTATCCTGGTAAATTAAATGCTTTAATGTGTAGCATGCTCCGTTCTTAGTTTTTACATTTTTGTCCTTTTTTGTTTTCACTTTGACTAACAATAATAAAATTCATTAAGTATTAAGGAAACCATCATACTATATAAAGTATATTTTGTCCAAATGTTTTGTTGAAACACTTATATGGGATTTAATATACTATGTCTTTGGGGTTCTACCAGTCTACCGATCACTTGAGGGTTTCCGAGACTACCTCTTTACAGGAGGAGAAAACCCAGTCTTTCTCCTGAGGAGTGGCTGCTGGTTTCGAACCGCCGAACCATGCAGATCAAAACCCAACACACACTTTAAAATAATCAACTGTTGGAGATCAAAGGGGCATCATTTACCCAAGGACAATGTTCAAAGGGTTAGGAAGGAAGGGGAACAGAAGTAAGAAACATAGGAAGAAGTGGGATAAGTGTTGCTAAATTGAAGAGATTGCAATCAGTGAGATGAAACAGAACGTGTCTGGATTATTAAATGTAAAACTGATGATCTGCTCTGTAAACCTTCACCCAGGTCACAAAAGCTTTAAATAAATACACACAATGCCCTAAAATTATATTAGAAAAATAGCATAGAATGATTGATAGTTAATAAGGTTGTAAAAATTGTGCTTTAGAGGAAACATGGCTTTAGTCCACTCCAGTACTTACCAGTTTAATTAATTTTGTTTTTAAGGGATGGCACACATGTTGCAGTGAAAATTGTTAAAAATGTAGGTCGATACCGAGAAGCAGCTCATTCAGAAGTTCAAGTGTTGGAGCATTTGAATAGTACTGATCCCAATAGTGTCTTGTAAGTATAAATTTAAACTATGAGCAAGATGATTTTAAAAAGTTTGTGGATACATGAAATCAAAATATAATGGAAATTTTCCACAGACTTTTTTGAACCCCTTGTATTATTATGTAAAATAATCAGATTCCTTGAGCTGAACTATCTTTATTTTGATGTATTTTTAGCCGATGTGTCCAGATGCTAGAATGGTTTGATCATCATGGTCATGTTTGTATTGTGTTTGAACTGCTGGGACTTAGTACCTATGATTTCATTAAAGAAAACAGTTTTCTGCCATTTCAAATTGACCACATCAGACAGATGGCATATCAGATCTGCCAATCAATAAATTGTAAGTATGCTTGATAAATCTTTAAATACCAGAAAATCCACATTGTTAGGATATGAAGCACATACCAACACATAGTCACTAAAAGTGTACATATTGCAGGTAAAGCTGAAACCCCCCTCCCTGTATGTACTCCTAAGTCCTTTATCCCCTGGTACAGATTTGATTTGTAAATGAAACTAATCATGGTCTTTTTGCTTTTCTGTAGTTTTGCATCACAATAAGTTAACCCATACAGATCTGAAGCCTGAAAATATTTTATTTGTGAAGTCTGACTATGTAGTAAAATATAACTCAAAAATGGTGAGTGAGGGCTTTTTGCTAATTGAGGTTGATGATCCTTGAAAGAGGGATTTCATCTGTAAAGCTTATTATGTTCTGATGTTGAAGTCCAATTTTGCCTTCTGGGGTTATGGTAAAAATAAAAAGTTAATACCTGTGCAGACCTCCAGACTGGTGCTATAAAGTTGATTTCATGTATGTTGTTTTTCTCTTAACTCTCTGTAGAAACGTGATGAGCGTACACTGAAAAACACAGATATCAAAGTTGTGGACTTTGGAAGTGCTACGTACGATGATGAACATCATAGCACTTTGGTGTCTACACGACATTACAGAGCTCCAGAGGTCATTCTGGGTTAGTAGAGCCAGACTTCCTTATATTGTAATTAAAGAAGCAGTGTTGATTTATGCATGATTTGTTGGGATTAACATTGTAGAGAAAGTGTTCTCTATTTTCACAAAGGCTGTATTATCTTTTGCTATAAATTAGAGTGCAGGAAATGTAATGCCATTGGTGAAAAACATTTCAGGTGGAGGTTGTTTTAAATGATAATAAGAACGGTGTGACTCTGAAACCTATTTGGGATGTCATCACAAAAGGATGGTGTTGACAAAGAGTTGACAGTAGGGGACTTGTAGGCTGAAAAGGAGATGAATAAAGGGTTAGTCTAAGAAAGTCTTTTAGTAATCCTTGACATGAGATTATGGGGGAAAAAAGTTAAGGTTCATAGTTGTAAATAGAGTGAATGCTATGCCTCAGAATTAAAATATTAAGAGACAAAATTAAGAATTGGGTTGGGGGCTTGAAGGCAGTAGAAACACCTAGTTCCAATGTTACTGGGAAAATAAAAGTAATCTTGAGCCAAAAGTAAAGTCCCTGAGGTTAGGTAAGATACTTTTATGGAATCAGTTGCTTGGTAGTAAGTACATTCTGAAAACAATTAGACACCTATGTTTCAACTAAACCGTATTTGTAACAATGAAATGTAAAAATGCCTAAGGCAGCCATGATCAACAGCAGTGTTGGAGTATTTCCAATTTTGGAAGATTTACATGAATTGTTAGTTATATTTGGGAAATGTTTATAAATATGCTTAAAATGCCTTCTCCCTCAAGTTTACTACTTACTAGAGTAAGGGCATAGATGACATAGAAAACATACTGAACAATGTTTGGTATAAAATAGTGTAAAGCCTGAATTTACTGTTATATTTTCCACAATACACTATGTAAACAGAGTACCCTTAAAAGAAAGGTTTATCTCTGCGTTGATGATTTAAAATTGGTGCATAATAAAATGTTTCTTTTCGAATAGCTTTAGGTTGGTCTCAGCCTTGTGATGTTTGGAGTATAGGTTGCATTCTTATTGAATATTACCTTGGCTTCACAGTTTTTCAGGTACGTGTATAGTAATTTAATTTATTGACTCAAGGGATTTGGTTGAAGGCCTGTTAAATTTTAGGGTTCCACATTAGAAACTTCTCAAACTGTCAGGATTCTTGCAATTAAAATTTACATATGTAAAATTTTTTTTTCTGTAAAACCAAGATTAAATGATGTAGTTAGGGGTCATAGTTCATTTTATATATGATTGAGGTTTTTAAAACACATGATTTGGATATAATTCATATTGGCTTTTTTTTTTTAATTAGAGTCCCTTCATTAATTTGTATTATCATTATTGTGGCTAGTTTTCATAGGCCCACCGTAATTATTCATGTTTTTTAGAAAGTGGCTGGTTATGTATAGTCAGCTATATCGTCAAGACAAAATTAAATAGAATGCCTGCTTACTTCTTGTTGGTTCATCAAATGAATACTACACGTGACTGATTTTAAATCACTTTAGTTGTTTTATGTGATAGTTAGAATATCAACACTAATTTTGAGATGTACTCTATATTTTAATTCCAGTCTCCAGGATACCGTATATACTTGAGTATAAGCTGAGTTTTTTCAGCACACTTTTTAATGCACTTTTTGTGGTAAAATTAGGTGCCGCGACTGATACTCAAGTACATATGGTAATCAAACTAGCCACACTAAAAAAAACAAAAACAATAAGAACTCACTGCTATGGAGTTGATTCCACTGTTGTGGAGTGACCTTATAAGACAGGATAGAACTGCACCTGTGGGTTTGTGAGATAGTAACTCCTTATGGGAATAGAAAGCCTCATCTTTTTCCTGTGGAGTGACTAGTGGTTTCATAGTGCTGACCTTGAACTTGATATCCCAACTTAGCAACCACTAGGCCACCAGGACTCCTTACTCAAGGAATTAAAAGAAGAAAAAGTGCTAGTATTTATTCCTGCCATGAGTTAATTGTGAAGGCAATGTATAGTAAGCACAGTAATTGAAATGAATTTTCACAGCATTAACCACAACTGCTCTCCAGAATAAGGGTCTGCACACTGGCCCGGGGCCCAAATTCTAACCTGATGGCTGTTTGAAAAGAGAATATATGACAGACTATTTTTGGCCAGCCAAACCAACATTATTTGTTGTTTGGCTCTTTCCAGAAACATCTGCTAATCCCTGCCACTTCTGGAGCATACTGTATACCATCTCGTATGTGCATAGTAATTTATTAATAACTCGGGCATTTTAAATGTTAAAGGCCTGTTAAAATTTTGGATTCCATATTGGAAACTTGCCATACTGTCAGGATTCTTGCAGTTAAATTTACATATGCAAAGTTATTTTTCTTCTCTGAAACCAAGGTTAAACGATATACCAAAGTTAGTAAGTGGTCATAGTTTGTTTTGCAGATGATTGAGGTTTTTAAACACATGATTCAGATTATTTTTCATTACAGAGTCCTTTTATGAATTTGTATTAGCATTATTGAGGCTACTTTTCCTAGAGCCACCATGGTTACTAGGGGACCATTTTCTCACGTCTCCAACAGCCAGGTTTTCTCTATTCTATAGCCAAGCTCTATTACTGTGCAGTTAAAGAATATGAACTTTGATTTGGGGTCATATTCCAACTGACCTCGGTATGTCTTTGAGCCAGTGTCTTAACCTATTTGAAAGTTAAGCGTCCTCACACTACTCTGAGGGTGGTTGTGAGCATTTTTGTGTGTGTATGCCTTAGATTAATGTGTTTATGATGATTGATAGGTTGATTTTACAAAGTGGAAGAATGTTAAATAATAAAAATTGATCTTGGTTAAGCAACTATTTAAGAAGACTTCTCTGATCATTCCTCAAGGTGAAACAGTGCAAGAAACATAAGAAAATTGTTCAGCTTTATATTAAACAAGTTTGTCTTTGCCCATTCTACAGAACCTTACTGATAGTGAGCTATTTCAGAAAGACTTTAATTTTAGTAGGTTTGTAACTACAATACAACTCTTACAATATTGTTCTGTCTCTGAAATATGGGGTAATGTGAATTATATAAGTCTCTTGTTCTATCCTTTTATGTGATTTATTGATTTCCTTGTATTCTCTTCTGATGTACATGTTGAGAAATGGAGAGTGCTAAATTTATTTTTCCTATGTTTTTTAGACTCATGATAGTAAAGAGCACCTGGCAATGATGGAACGAATATTAGGACCGATACCAACACACATGATTCAGAAAACAAGGTATGCTGTACAATTAATTATTCGAGCACTTTGTTGGGTGCATGCAAGGAAGGGCCTAAGTATATTTGAACTACACAAGACCCAATTTTGTTATATCATTTGTTCCAAGGAATACAAATGTAGTGTTAACTTGCATCTTGCCCCAGTTTGAAAAGGCAAACTTTAAAAATTTGGTACAATATTTGCCTCGTGGTCTAGTAAACATTGTGGTGTTTTTCACATTTATGTTAAATTTTTAATAATACTTTTCTTTGGCATTCCATACTGCTGCTAATGCACTTTGTCGGTCCATAGACACGGTTCTAGAGTGATTTCCAAATGGTTCACCAAAGAAGCTACCTAAGGGCTTATTGAAACCCTTCCAGCCCATCCAGATCTGTGAGATCAGAAGTACAGGGAGGGTCCAGGAATCTCTGTATTTGAACCAGCCATTGTTCCATGGACTCAGTTTGAAACAGCTTAATTGGAATATTAAAATCTCACAGAGTGGACGATTAAATAAAATGTTTTCTAAGATATCTGGTAATTGTTGTTCAGATTGTTTTAAACACACATGTATGTATCCATTTATACTCTTACCTCCCAGTGGAGACAGGGTAGAAATATGAATCTTCTGTTACTTCACTAATGCAAACTTCTTTTTCTTGTAGAAAACGCAAGTATTTTCATCATGACCAGCTGGATTGGGATGAACATAGTTCTGCTGGTAGATACGTTAGGAGACGCTGCAAGCCATTAAAGGTAGAAGGGAAAGGAAGCTTTTTACAAGTCCACAAATTTCACTTTTTAATATCCTTATAAAAAACATTTTTTTCCTTTCAGGAATTTATGCATTGTGATGATGAGGAACACGAAAAACTATTTGATTTGGTCCGAAGAATGCTAGAATATGAACCAACTAAAAGGATTACTTTGGATGAAGCATTGCAGCATCCTTTCTTTGACTTATTAAAAAAGAAATGAAATGGAAATCAGTGGTCTTACTATATACTTCTCTAGAAGAGATTACTTAAGACTGTGTCAGTCAGCTAAACATGCTAATATTTTTGTAAACATTAAATTATTTTGTACAGTTAAATGTAAATTCTGTTTGTTTTGTATCAGTGTAATTATCTTGTTAAGCAAATATGGTCTTGGTAATGATGAAGTATAAAAGTTAAAATTAATTTTCCATTTAAAGTTTTATCATTTTTAAAGACCTTTGAAATATACCTGTGTCTGGTGATAAATTTGATTGTTCATACTTTTTGTACATGAAAATTGACTCTCAAGTGATTTTTTTTTTTTTGAGTAAAGGGAAATTTTGACTACCTTGCTCTTAAATTGATATTCTTTATATGCCTCAGATTTAGAGTTTTAATCTTTAAAAGTTTTTCCTGTAGTTCTTGAGTAGATAATAAATATTAACTAGGTGGCACACACACATAGGTATTGGGAACCAAAATCTATAGGAAACTGCCTAATGTGGGAAGTCTTCATAAATTAAATTGTAAGCATTCTATTTTTTATTGGGTGATGTTAGTGATGATAAGTAGGCATTAGAAAAGTATCCATTTTGTCAAACTACGCACATTTAGATTAACTGGAACATCAATCTAACGGCTATTTAGTGAGTTGTAAGCATGAAGATAGTACGTCTGATAACAGGCTTTGGTTTTCAATGCCAAACCCAACCAAAATCAAACCAAACTTGCAGTTCTGACTCCTGGAGCCTCGGCGACACAGTGGTTAGGCATTGTTTGGACTGTTAACTTTTGAAGGTCAGCATTTCAAAACCAACACCCATTGGGTGGGGGGGACAGGAGGCTTTCTACTCTTGTAAAGAATTACAGTGTAGGAACCCACAGGGTTAGTCCTACCTTCTATAAGGTTGCTAGGAGCCAAGTTGAAAATGTCTAATAGCTGCTTCCTTTTCAAGTCAAGGGAATATCAGCCTCTGAAAATTAAGGGCTTTTACATCATGTTAATCCTTCACTGGAGAAAAAAGGATTCCTGTGGAAAACTCTTTTTCTTAAGGAAAGACGCTCTGCAGAAGTTGTAGAACCTTTTTAAATATGTTTAAATAATTTAAATACAATTTTTAAATATGTATTATTTTACAATAGTTTTACATAAAAACTACATATTAAATGCTTCTAAAGTTTTTTAAAAAACAAATGTTGATTCTGCCAAGTGGAAATTCAGAATTTTTTTTTCAGATCCTCATTTGCTGGTGTGTTACACCAATTTGAGTTTTATTTGTTTGTATTTTCAGCATAAAGTGCATGGAACTTTTTGTGTGTAGTTTAGGGCAACGTTGGCCAAAATAGGAAGGTTTTGTTCCTAAACTTGACTAATATTTTAAGAAAGTAGAAATAAGTTTAACATAAAATTACTACATAATTATATTAGATCTTTTATGTAATGCACACACCATTAATGTACCTTCAGAATAGTTAAGCTATTACTAAAAAAATGATTCTTTAGAGGGTCGGGAGCCCTTTACCATGTTGCTGCCCAGTGGGCTGCCACCCCTGCTCTCTCCCTCCCTCCCCCATGTACACTTTCCAGTCAGTGCCTAGATTGGTACCTAGGTTGCTTCCTAACAAAACTCCTAAATTAACCTTTTTTTCTTCATCGAAAATCCATGCCCTCCTAATACTGACAGCATAGCATATAAAAGGAAAAGAAAATATTTTTTTAAACTTCTGCAAAAATTGGTGGTAACCTTTTCTTCTGAAAAGTCTGTCTTTACAAAAGGTACGTTAGTTAATAGAATGTTAGCAATGGAAAGGAAACTTAGAGAAATGCCTACATGGGTGCTTCCCAGTCGGGGTTCCTTCCACGAACACTTTAATCTTCCCTGGGCTCTCCTGAGCCGACTCCAGAGTACCTGCCCTTCCTGCTCCAGGGTTTTTGACAGTCCTGGGAATCCCTGCACTGAAAGGGAAAGGGCCCAAGTATAGGAATCATTTGTAAGTTAGATGTTTATTTTTCTTCATTTGATACCTCAATATTATTTCTAACAAGGTTGGTTTTCTTCTTGAAAAATGAAGTTAAATTGGACATCTCCACTGTTCGCGGCAACTGTTTATTTTCTTGAGCTCTCGTTCACCCATGAATTCTTCAAGACTTCAGAATATGAAGGACTTAGAATGGGCGCCTGAAGTAGAGAAAAAGCCCTCTGAGATTTTTATAACTCATTAAATAAAAACTTTTGAATGCAGATTGATGGCTTAGGGGCTAGAGAAATGAGAAACAACTTACCTAATGATCCCAATAATTGTTGCTGAATTGTGATCTGAGGAAATTCGGGTTTCCTAGATTATAGGTAGTACTTTTCTGTGATAATAAATACACTGCACTGATCCAGAACTTGAGTTGCTTGATTGTTCACAGTTGTACTGTGAAATACCTTGGCATGAAAACCATGGCTAAAAAAATATTACTTGAATTTCATTTCTCCCAGTTTTTATTGATCATACGAATAATAACCATTAAAATGACCAATATGGTGTAGCCATTTGAAAACATGTTCTATTTTAAGTAGGTAGGCAGAAACCAGTATCTAAACAGCTTGAAATGAAGAAATGCCTTTTTATTTAG